CAGCAGGTAATTTATTTCCACTTAAATTCTAATCTAATTCATTCTCCACCAAATTTTACATGTCTTGTGATTGATATGTAGTCCAAGTCCCAACTCCATGACATAACTATATTGTTATTAAGTGAAACAAGATATCCTCAATGAATGATACATAATATCTAGATCAACCTTTGGTAACAACCAGTGATAGTCCCCCCGCATCAGAATGTTGACACCTTTATAAAAGGGTAAGGCAGAAAACTAAAGCATTTAAGAGTATATGATATATGATGGGAGGCTCTAGACTCAAGAATGCATATATCAGAAGATATACTTCATGAATTGAAGTAGAGCAAACCTATATTAGGAGAGGCTGACATAGCACGTGGGTCTGAGGTAAGAAATTTTTGAAATTGTTTAGCAAGAGTAACTATATAGGGCTAAAGAAGGATGTGCTCTCGGGAGAATGAGTATGTCCAACACCAGAAGCATCAAATGGAGGAACAACTACAACAACGTTTTGTGTTGGTGGTTTGAAGCTGATGACTAAACTGATTGAGAGGTTTCCATTGAAAGGATTGCTGTGATTTATTTAATAATTTTGTATATTGTGTTTTCCAATGGCCCCTTTTGTTTGCAAAGACTACGCTTATCATAGCTGTTTTTTCCTTGAAATTTTCCTTTGTTGGAGGGAACAACAACCACAAATTAATTTGGAGTAGATAAGATCCCTTCATCTACAATGTTCTTCTCAATGTGAGACTTAAGCTAAATTTCTTTAACTATTAACTCATTAACCATCGAATCAACAGTCGGGAGAAGAGTGCCATGAAAAATGGTTGTACAAAGCCATTCAAAATCATCCCGAAAAGCCATCAAAAGTTGAACCAAGCGCTGCTTTCCCCTACGATCAGTGCAAGGTTTGAAAGCTTGTTTTGCATATTTGGTAAGATCCAATTTGTCCCACAGATTGGGCATAGTAGATAAAATTCTTGGATGCTTGTGTTGACCTATTGAAGAGCTTGAATATCAATCTCCAACTGATATTTCTTAGCGAAATTGGATTGCACATACAACTTGTTCAAATGATCCCAAACCTCCTTGGTTGTTGCATGTTTTGCTAGTTGAACGCATATTTATTGCAAAGTAGAGTTGTTGCTTCCCACGATTCCAGCTCTGTTTGATATTTCACATTTTGTTCATCCATTGGCTTGTCAAGAGTGCCAAAAAATTAACCTCACATTCGTTTACCATCCAAAATACTCCTCAACACATAACTCCAATAGAAATAGTTCAGCCCATTTAGTTTTACCCTAATAGATTGAAAAGAATCATCATTTTCCTCGGTCATTGCTAAGACTCACAGATGGAGAACAATAAAAGGAGAACCTGCAAAATATATAAAATGTGTCGGTTAATTATATTACATGCATTAATTAAAAAGTTGGGTGTGATTAATATTGTGAAATAGCATGAGAAATGATTCTATGCGCCAGTTATTTTTTTAAGTCACAATTAACATATATTTGTTGCGTAGTTTTATTCAATATATGTGCCTTGCAGGTTCTTAGTGGAAGCTGGATGGAGAACCTTGAAGTTGCGGGAGAAAATGCACTTTCAAGGTATGACAGTGAAGCATACACCCAAATTCTTCTAAATGCTAGACCAAATGGTTTAAACAAATGGGGGCCTCCAACACTAAAATTGGCTGGCGTAACATACCTTCGTTTGTCAGATGAATTACTACATCAAACAAACTTTGATGTATTCAAGGCCTTTGTTAGAAAGATGCATGCTAATCTGGTAAGTAGTAGTGTTTCTACATTTAATGATTTAATGAAAGATAACAATATTTTGTGTGGAGTTTGAAATGTAGTAATGAAAGGTTCTCCCCCATTACAAAAAATTTACAGGATCACTGTCCTAATCGAGAGAGGTACTATCATTTCACAGTTCCTTTGGAGCGTTCAAAGCCAAGAATTCCACTGGAGCTTCTTCTTGAAGCAACCGAACCAGTGGAGCCTTATAGATGGTATAAGGAAACAGACACCACCCTTAATGATGATGTTACTGGTTTTCTTTATTATGTAGTCTCTACTATCCTGCGTATTTTCAAGATAAAAAAAATAAACTAATTAAAAAGGGGAATAGAAATGAAGGATGACATTGATCAACAATATAATAGGAAACAATCAGGAAGCTATTGTTGGTTCATGTTCAAATCACCAAGTGGAAATAATCTCAAATGTTTTGCTTCCTTATAAAGTCCCACTTTTTTTCCCACAGGAAACTCCTTATCTTTTAACCCGAATGATTCTCATTTTTTGTATCTTGAAGTTCTTTAAACAGTAACAAATATAATTATTTTTTATTATAGTTATACTATTAAGAAAATATTAAATGAAACTAAAATAATTTATAAAAATTTATATCCTGTCAAGTTTGAGAAAATAAGTAAGGGTAAACATATTATAAAACCACAGTATAGGCAAACCAAAAAAGAAAAGAAAAAAGTTGTGTAGAAAATATATATGAAAAATAAATGGAGATGCGGGGTATCGATCCCCGTACCTCTCGCATGCTAAGCGAGCGCTCTACCATCTGAGCTACATCCCCTTGCTGTTCTGTGACATATGTATATTTTACTTGGTGGTTCTTCAAAAACTAACTTTCATTTATTGAATTGTGTATTTGAAAAAGAGTAAAAAGTAAAGCATAAATTTTAAAAATTAAAATTAAAATTAAAAAAAGTGAGATTTTTCATAATTTGTTATTCATGTTTCATAAAGAAAGTTAAAAGAGTTTATTCATACTTTACTTTTGATGATTTATTAGTCTTCTTGCAATAGTAGTTATTTTTTTAAATGATCTTTCTCCTTTTATTCTTTTTATTTTGTCAGGATTCATGATTATACTTACGGTACACTAGATGAGATATGACTGAATAGTGCATCTCAGGGAGTTTTACCTTGGAAGTTGAACTTGAAACTTTCCAATAAATGTACAAAATTGTTCTATTGGTTGTTGATTTTTGCAAAGGGCTAGGACCATGTATAGGTAGGAATCCTTTCTAGTTTTCTACGACCCTTTTAATTGTTTTCTTATATCTCAATTTTTTCACACACAAATTGCATTGCTTAAAAGAGGTAAAGCTTTAGGTCAAGTTTTCATGGCATATTCAAACTCTAATTTAGACATAGCGCACATTTGACATAAGAAAATTTATTGTAAAAATCAAAATAATCAAGTAATGACTATCTTTACTCATGAAATGCATAAATCTCGTTGAAATTAGCAGCAAATTTTTACTAAAATAAATTTTATTTTTTTTGAATGGAAGGGAACCTAAAATCCGAATCAAAATATATTAATATCCACGAGGGAACCAAATATATAAGAGACATAATCACCCCCAAAAAGAATTACATAAGAAACATAAATGCAAGTAAAACATAAGATTCATCTTAGTGAATATGCTACTTGGTTAGCCTAACCACACATACATAGGTGGGAAGGTAGAAAAGTTGAACCAAGTATGCCAATGGTTGAATCTCCTTTTAAGTAGAGGGTGGGCAAGGAAAGGATTTATCATCACTCTTCCTAACCAAATTATTAAGATTATATTATGATATTTGTCAAAAATAGATATATATTTATTAATAAGAGAATTATATTAAATTTTATTATTTATTAGCTATTTTACACACATCCTTTTATTAATAAGATATTATTCATTTTGAAATTAAGACCGTAAAGAAGAAGTTAATTGGGATGTTATTTTGGATCAAACCTTGATTGAAATCCGTAGTAAACTGACAATTCCTCTTATTTGGGTTCCTCTTATTTGGGGCAATTTCGCAAGAATTTTCGCTATGAAATCGTTATTACTGAATTGGAGTGACCAAACTTCATCCAACAATTTTCTTCGGAAGGTTATACCATTTATCATAGCTGTTATCATTTTTTTTTAGAAAGGGATGTTATCAATTGTTTTCATGAATATGATATAATTCCATATGTTTGGTAACCGTTGTTAGTTGAGTTATCAAAATAGGCCAATCTTGTATCATTAGTAACAGAAAAGAATATTCACTCAAAAAGTATAAAATAAATAAAAAATGTAAAAGGGGAGGCAAACTTGATTCGATTTCCCCTTCCTTTGCTGGAAGGTTTATGTGTGCGCAAGATTATGCCTTTCTTGGAGATTAAACTAAAATTGTCCATCAAACATTAAAATATAAACAAAAGAAAATAAGGGGAGAATAGAAAAAGTTAAATGATATTATTTGGCAGTAACCGATTTCAGCATATATATCATTAGCATCCATGGAAACGAAATTTTTCCTTGGCCACTGTGAAGCAAATCCAATATAGCTACGGAGCAATAAAGTGAATAAAACTTAAATTAGAATTGTTATAGTCAGACAGACACATGTCAGTGCATCAGTGGCGAGGATAATTAGTTGGTGAATAAAAACTGTTACATTTGTTTTGTATGTTTAATCCTAAGTACACATTTGGTAAAGCAAGACATTTAGAAAAGCCAAAAGAAAAAAACAATATTAATAAAGCAAGCAGAAGTGGCCTCCAGTCTAGTTATCTTAATCGCTAATTAAGAGGCAGTGGCAGAAACGTAATACACAACACTGAACACGGCATGAACAAAACACAAGATTCCACCAATGGACAGAAAGTGATGGTGAGTGAAACCGCAAGAACCCCTTCCCTTGTTGTTTGACGAAGTCCCTATCACCAGCATGCTCAATCCAACAGCCAACACAATCCTAATCAACAACACAATTCAAAGGAGAAAAGTAAAAACAAGGGTTTATATGGATCATGGTGAATGATAAGTTATGGTGTTATTGTTTTGTTTTTTTCTCGAAAACAAGTTAGTAATAGTAAGATACAATAGTATGTATAATATTTGAAATTCGAGTATTCTAACAAATAAAAAGAAATTAGTGGGGCCAGTGACACATTACCATGTTAAAATGAGAGAAGCCATTGAGAATTGTCTATTTGGAGAAGCCTTATCAAGCCCTTGTTGAGAACAAAGGCAATTGAAGCCACCTAGCAAGTTGACTATAACATGGGCTAATGCCAAAAGCACTGCTGCAGCCAACCCCAGCATGAAGGCCTTATGGCTTGGGTCTTTACACTCAAATATCCATAATCTCAAGTGCTTAACCTGTTTGGTTAAAACAACTATTAATATTGCATCTTACTATATAGTTATTCATTGCATTAAAGTTTTTGTTGTACTATAGAAAGAGATTTAGCTTCAAGCATACCTTGTTTTGTGCAATTTCAGCTTCAATGCCAAGAATCCCAGCTGTGATATCCATGATCACAAGCAAGAGGCACAGAAAAATGCCTGCTCCTCTATTCATTTCTAGGAGAAACTCTTTGTATCTAATTTGCTTGTTGCCAAGTGCTAAGAGTGAGCAAAAAGATGTAGCGGGGGAACACTAATATATATGAACTGTACAAAAAGTATATGGAATTGTATTGGTATTGCAGGTGGGTTAAGTGGGAAAAGCCTTTATTATATAAACTCTGCAAACTAAACTTTGCCATACTTTTGTATCTTTTTTTTTCTCTTTTTCTCCGGTGTTCGATTCGTTTGATAGGGTGCAAGAAAAGCAGGGCATAAACCAGCTCATGAAATAGCGTACTACGTAGCGGGCCAAATGATTGTGAATAAGTAAATTTCTTGATTCGTTGAGTTTTTTTTTTTTTTTTTAAGTATATAGAGATGCAAATATTTTTACTTTTTTATTTTTTAAAAAGTTTAAGTAAGTTGAATCTCAAATATTTATCAGTTCGGAAGAGATAAATAAATTCAAAGAACATTTATAGATATACTTACAAATTATTTATTACATAACAACAGTAAAATTGAATTCACGTTTTCATGAGATATGAGTTTTTTTTTTTATCAAATAATTTATTTTCTGTCAAAGTATTAGAAAATCAATATCTGTGACACATTATTTTAGGAAATCAATATACTAAAATATGTTCTTATTTTGGTACAAATTACATGTATCTTTTTGTAACAAGTAATATTATACTCAAATTAGTCAGGATTTTTATAAGAATAAAGTAGAAAAAAAAATTCTAAATATTTAGTACAACTATATATCCAAACTTTAAATTTTAAATTAATGATCAAGTTAAAACAATTTTCGTACTAATTATTTGATGATTACAACATATTGACTAAATTTGTGTAAAACTAAAAAAAAAAGTTTTTATAAAAAAATTGCTTATTTTATTAAAAACATTTTTTTAAAAGAGAAAATAAGTTTAAATAAACAGGTTCAATTATAAGGTTCGTGACTATGGGTATCAATCATTTAAAAACAAATATATATTCAGACTTGTATTTTGTAGAACAATTATATTTTTCGGCCTGAAGGTTGATGGTGAAATGCGAATCATACAAGCAAGTGGGCGTTGTTGAACAAATAGATGAACAGTGGATATGTCGTCTATAGTACTGGACGGATTCATTTCTTATACTATCTTTGCAGGGGAGGTATGCGGAAGAAGAAATAAAGATCACATAAATCATTATTCAAAAGCTTTTAAATAAATTTATATAAAAAATACGTGCATTGAATTTTGAATGAGCTATGGGAGGTATTCATATAACTCGTTTTTATAACATTGGTAAAGGGATTGAGCAGTTTACATGAGCTCATGTTTGTACACCAAAAGAATAAACATCAGCTGTTATTACAAATTTTATTACCTTTTTTTTTTTTCTTTTCATCATTTTGCTTGCCTTTCGATCAAGTAACCAATGCAATGGTATCACATGAGCACATGAGCCATGGTATCATTGATAAAGCGAAGAATATTTAGTGAGGTGTTCATAATATCGTAAATAATACTGAACTCTCACCGAAAAAAAAATACTAAAACTTTATTCTAATTAAAAGCTAAATAGTTTTCATTTTAAACTCATTAAATAAATATTATATAATACTTATATTTCCAAACTCATCCTATTGAGTAAATCTTCATTTTCGTCCATGAAAGTGATCGAAGTTTGACACAGTTTATATTCAAGACTAACACCTTTAGTTGGTACACATCACAACACAAGTAATTTCTATCTCGAATAATCTAGCATAAGTTAGACTATTGAGTAAGATTATTATAGGTAATAAAATTCTTATTATAAATATATAAAAATGTAACATATTAAGCTACAAAAACTCAAATTTTAAACTTAAAATCAATGATTAAAATATAATGATAAATAAAATAAATTCCATGTGATTTGATCCAAGACTTTCATGATTATTTAAAATTAACGTGTGGCATACATAATAAATATTTATTGTGTATTAGGGGTTACCATATACATGTCTTCATATTAGTAAGATATAGTCAATTTTGGATCTAAGTCTTCATAATTGTGCTTTGAGTCATCACCTAAAAGGTCTACTTGTTGTGCATCGAGAGTTTACACACACATGTCACACTAGTAAGATATTATTTACTTTAGATCGAACATGTCCATCTTTTTGTTTGAACGACGTACGACTTTGATTATATTTCAACAATTATTCTCTCAAATAAAAGATCATGATTTACTCTCCTTTGCAATTAAAACTAATCGATGAGTTATATATAATGGTGGCTCATAAAACTCAATCGCATTCTAAGTATTTTGCATCAACATCCACTGCTTCATCATTAATAACTCACGATAGAGGGACAAGCTTCCTAACTCTCCATGTTATTAGGAAAAAATAATTTCATATATGGACTCATCAATAAGAAGACTTTTGATATAAGAAATCCTAACCATCATACTCGTTAAGTTGACCACTTGATCAAATCAACAACTTCGATGTCACTTGTTGTGTACCATAAGGTTCACACACACATGTCTTCGTACTAATAAGATATTATTCACTTTGAGTTGAAACTTTCATGATTTTATTTTTAGTCATCATCTAAAATCCTAAATCTTAAACTTTGGAGCCTCTTTACTAGACACAGACACTAGTTAAAAAACAAAAATAAAACTTAATTTTTTTAAAAAAATATATTGTCTCTTTATTAGACAACGACACTGATTAAAAAAATAAAATTAATCCCTCTATGGAGGACAACGTCACTAGTTTAAATAACAACACTAGTTTAATAAATAAAAAATGGATGACACTTTTTAAACCAACCAAACTTTAAAATAAATAAGTAACACTTAGTCATATGCATCAATGGTGATTTCATAGGTGATTATAGGGTCACCAAAATGGAACCATATATCTATTTATACCATTTTTTTCAAAATAATTAAAAATAAATATATGACATAAGTATTGTTAGATTGATCGACGATATCCACAATTGATTGTCTCAAAGTGGGAGATAATTTGAATATAATCACATTTATGTAAAATATTTTCATAATGAATCCATTTAGTTAAAAAGTCAAAAATATTCATGAGAATTTAACACTATGAGAAATTGTATTTTAAAAAAGTTTTCCACTAAAACTTTATAATGGGAAGGGCAGGAGTTCAAGATTCTCAAGAAAGGGAATTTTTTTATTTTTATATTATATATCTCTCGTTCTTGAAAATATTTCACATGTTAAATATATTTATGCCATTTTCAAGATATATGTTTGCCAGAAAATACAATTCCAAAAAAACATGAATGGAAAAAAGATTTTGCATAGCAAATAGTAATTAATACCCTCTAAAAGTAATATTACTGTCATACACTAATGTGAACACCTTTTTCATAAATTCAAATACTTAGTCTATTACATTGTTAGAGATAAATTCTTTAAATATTAATCATCTCATAATGTGGTCCTATATTATTTTATATAAATTTAAAAAGTTAATAATTGAATTAAAAAAATAATAATTTTACAAATTTATCTTATAATTAATTTTCTTTATTAGAAACAATCAAACATAACAATTATTTTCTACATAATATTATTAAGAACATAAATAAAAATTAGGTAATTAATATTATATTAAAAAAGTTAACATGACATTTATTTTAAAACAATTTTTTTCTTCTAACACAACACTTACTAAGAGATGAAAAGAGTATTAATTTAAATTGGGATTTAAAATTAAAATTAAAATCATTTAACAAATCAATAGTTTCTATGTTTAAATTTTCTTTGAAGTTATTATTTTTTAGACAATGTTTTAATCTTGAGACTCGATGACGTATAAGACAAAACGTAGAAGCTTAAAACTAGCCTTCTTAAAAAGTGTTCAAAAATTAATTTGTTTAACTAACTCAAATTCCTGTTCTTTAAAAAAAAAAAAACGAAAATTTCAAAATAAATAAAAATAGGTCAGACACTACCACTATTCATTCTTTTATCTTTAATAAAAGCACGTATTTGAGTTTCACTCCATTGTTTAATGATATCACTATGTTGTTTTTCAGTACTATAAAGCAGAAAACGTCGACTTCATTTAATCTGTTTATTTTACGGGTCTGTTTTAACAAGGCAAATAGCGCATTAGTAGAGATTGGGCCTGTTAAAAGGCCATCATAGAACACGTAAAAGGTTGGGAGTTAGCAGCTAATGAAAGCCCAAAATATAGGTAGAGACTAGTTTCAATATTCAAACAGTAGAGGAAATGGTGAAGCAAAACAAGTATAGTAAATGTGTAGTAAAGACTAGAGCAACATTGTAAGCGTAAACTAAAGCAAAAGGCTAAGAAAGTGAGTGTGAGTTGAAGAGAGTTTTGGAGGCAGAGGCTGCAAGTGCCAACCTCCTTTCGGAGAGTTTCCTAAGCAAAGACAACTGTTCGAGGGAGAAAACGCAGAAGCCTTGGGAGTAGAGCATGGTTTGGGCAACGGGGGAGTTGACGAGAACCTGAAGGAGCTGGGTGCGGTTGAGGCTCTGGAAAACGCCGCCGTTTTGGAGAAGGAAGGGCGTGTTGTTGGAGGCGGAGGTGGAGGGCATGGAGTGGAGGACGCGTAATTGGGCCTGCAAGAACTTCACGTACTTATAGGCCTCTTCTAGGAGCGTGGCCTGGTCCATTTTCTTGTCCCAGGGCATCAGCTTCTGCAGGCACCGCGTCTTCTCGCTCAGCTTCTGCCTCCGCTGCCGCGCCAGGTTGCTCTGCGGAATCACCACGCGCTGCCGCTTCTGCTCCCGCCACTCCACTTCCTCGGTTAGAGACGCCAACGTCGGCAACCCCTCCCCCAATATGGAAGGGTTCAGATTCAGAGACAGAAGAGACTGCAGGCTCACGTTCGACAACATCGCCTCCTCCTCGCCGGAAAACATCGCATCGCTACTTATCTCTCTCACTCAATCACAATCACAATATATATAGGGTGAGCCAGAGAGAGAGAGAAACAAATTATTTCTCTATTTTTAATTTAACTTATTTATTATGAATTATAAATTTTAAAATAATAGTAATACACCTTACACGTGGACGATGAAGGATGGGTCCGTACAGAGAGAGACAATTGTGACAGTGTGTGTGTGCGCGCGCGTTTCCCTTTGTTTGTTTGTTCGTTTCGTTCTCTCTGCTCTCTCTGTTGCTAATTTTGTCCGTTTCCCCTTTGTCCTTTTCTGTCATTATGTCATCCAAATTGTTGAAGAAACTTATACGTTCACAGCGCATATCATCACTCTTATTGCATTTCTTTTTCATCGCTCCTCATCTTTGTCTTGTTGCAGGACCATGGATAATCAACAACTTCATCCACATTCACACATTCTTCCAATCACAATGATTTTGCAACATATTAACTCAAGCATGAGTGTTGTGTGGGGGAGGTTAATTATTATATAAAAAGTTTAGCACAATATACAAATAAAAAGGAAAAATATTATTATGAAAACTTCATGTAATATAACCCTATATTGTGTACAAGCCGTTTGATTTTTAACTTAATTTTGAATACAAATTTAACTTCTGTGTTGAGCTAAGATTCAAACATCACGAGCTATATGATGTCATTATAAAGAAGAAAAATAGAATATCAATAATTATGCTTGACAAGACTACGTGATCTAATTTTTAAAAGTGTGCATATTATTCACATTCATTAAATGTGGTCTTACATGCGAGTGTTGTTTTATATTTTGAAAACCGTGATTAATTTTCTACTAAACGAAAACGATCCATGTTACACTTGTGAAAGTAAAAAAGAAAACTTACTACATATTTATGTTTTTAATAGTTGTTCTAATTCGTCCAAGATATGATTTAGAAGAGAATAAAGTTTTTTAAAAGAAAATGTTGTTTTTTCATGTTATCAAAGAACCAACTAAAAAAGGACAAATGTTCTTAGAATAGTGAGAACCATAAAGACGATGTACGAAAGCAATAACTTCATAAAGGGATATAAGAGGGAGAGAGAGTAGTTTTAAAATAGCAGACGCACAAAAAGCAAAAGCTAGCGTGAAAAAGTATCATTAAAGAAAAACAAATATTGAATAAAATATTATGAAACGGAGATAATTGGCCGGTTCATGTGTTTTATTAAAAATAGTGGCCCATAGAAAAGTCGAGGTATGTAATGTCTATTCAATAAGATATAATTACCAAAAATCATCAATAATATATAGCTTATATTTCATCAATTTACGTTGCAACAAATAAATAAGAACAAAATTCTGTAGAAAAGCGATAGAAATAGTATGAATTTGCACTGGTGGTGCGCGTGTGTGGCTTAACACGTGCTTAACGTACTGTCAGATAATGAGTGAGGGGTCAGAGTTGTATATCATATACTACCATTCAGCATTCTTCTTTGTCTCAAATAAAACCATGCATACAATTATACTAATTCATGCCATGCAATCATTTAATTCTGCTTCGTTTGTTGTTATAAAGTGAAGCAACTTGTCCCTCCATGAATTGCCTCTCCAGACAAACTCCGACACGTGAATGTCAGATGTTCCTATATATAGGCTAAGCTTTAGATTAAAAAAGAAAGAAGTAATCACTCATGTTAACAACATATTACAGATAATGAACCTGGTCATATTATGAAAGGGCAATAGAGTTGAACTAACTTAACAAATTAATTGTTGCTTGAGGAGTACATGTTTGGATATACAATTAGATAATGAAAACCAAATCAACAAAGGAGCCTCGACTCTCTTTCACTTTGGTGCCTATAATCTTTAGGCCAGAAACGAATTACAATGTCTCCTCTAGGCTCTGAGGGTGCCATCAACACAGGCAACCTTTACCGGCCACGAGCTGCAACAGGTTTGTCTCTTCTAATCTGATTTACTGATCACAACTGTGATGACTGACTAATAACAACAAGCTCTAGCACTGTAACATTGTGTTGCTTCATTTATGTTGCTCTGATCCTGTGTTTGCTCTGTTCTCATCATGCATAACACATCGTGTATAATGTCTATAAAATGAGATGATTTTTTTACTGATTTAATAGAAAATAAAAAAATAATTAAAACGTATATCTATAAAATGATATAAATAATTATCTTTAAATAGAAATAAGTTATAAAAAAAATAATATAGTTATATAAGATATGCAAGTATTTTAAATTTTCTGTTCTTTTATTATAACATTCTTTGGAATTAGGAAATAATTAATATTGGTAGCATACTTTCAACGACAATTCTAAGTACGGTTAAGGTGAATAATGGCTTAGGGTCCCATCCTTAGAAGGATACTGATTTTTTTTAGCATATAAATATAAAAATAAATTTTAAGTAATTAAATTATATAAGTAAATCATTGTTATAAAAAAATTAACCAACAATAATTAATTAATTGATATGTGTTTTTCAATAAAAATCTATTTATATTTTATTTTCTTTAATTTCTTTTATTGTTAATAAATAAGGATCGTCTTAGAATTTTTCTCTATTTTTTCTTAATTATGATCTCTTATACTCTACTAAAATCTTAAAATTAAATTGAAAATCTTTATTTGTTAAGCATCACAAATTACTTTATGACAAGCCTCATTGTTATTTTTTTTTTTTCTACCACAATAAGTTGAGAGTTCAAGGTGAAGATTTAGAAAATAAGCAATCTAAGTACACTATTGTTTTATCTCATTGTCATTTACTCATTACCCAATAATTTGAATCATAAATTATAATTTAGTTTTTTTGTTTATATTTGTCTAATCACTTGACTTTCAACATATTACAAAGAAAAGAACCCTTTGGTCATTTAAAATGAAAAAGAAATAAATAAATTAATATTAATATTGATTCTTAAAAGAGTGCTCTTGATAAATTTTTGTTAAAACACCCAATATTTTTTTTTCAAAATAATGCAAATCTAGATAATCTAGATTCTAAAGCTAAAATTTTGAGAATGAAAAATCTCACATTTTAGTTAAAAATAGTAAGAATAAAGATGATTATCATAATGAATTTAAATATTTTAATAATAAAAATTAACATATTCAAATTGGACAATCTATCGATATAATTCATTAGACATTTACAATTTAATAACACTAAATAACTTTATAAGTGATTTATAAGATAAATTACTAAAAAAGTTATTCTAAATGAGATGCCTTACAAATACTTTTAATATCTTAATAATTTTATAATAAAAAATATAAAAATAATATTTAAATAATTGAAGACACATTTTTAATTTCATGCACGGTCTTGAAAAACTGAGGGCCGGCCTGCACACTTTCATTTCCTGCCTCTTTTCTAACATCAAAATATCAAATAGTTGTACCAGCTATACATCCAAAAATATGGACACTTTTCTAACCAACCAAATGCACACGAGACAGACAGACACAGGGACAATCGTGTTAGTGTCAGAGATACCATTTCTCCGTCCGTAATGATGGTTATCAGCTACCTGATTATAAAGAGTATCACAGGTGCCAGCTCAGCACAAAAACACCAGCATCAAAGTGCAAACAAAATCCCGCCTATACAGCAAGAGCCAGTAGGACAACACAATAGAACCAACGTCACTCAGCATTCTTTCTTCAAACATCTATATTATCTACTGATGCCTGCAAACAAACTCAATTCGAATATTCCTAGTTATCACTCTGGGACCATTGACGGGGTAAATTACCCCGCAACGTTTTAGCATATAAAAGATTGCCCTATCTATGTATTTTAACATAAGATGAGAACACGATCAGCAGAAACTGCAATTTAGTTGCAGATTGCTTAGCTAAACTAGTTTTCTCTACAGGAGATGTTTTGGTTTGCGTAAGTGCCTTCCCAAGCGCAAGCTGTTGTAGACCATGACATTTTGGCTTGGTCAGCCTTTTACACTCTTTGTTAATGTCATGGATCTTTTTCTTAAAAAAATAAAAATAAATAAATAAATAAATAAAAATAAGATGAGAACACAGCAATGACTGGAATTAACCTTTCTTTTTTCTTCCTAACTTTCATTTCATATTACATAAGTATAAAACAATGCCCTACAATCAAATGAATTACAAATCAATGGCCAAGAAAAACTGTACACAAGAATGACTGAAAAGCGGTACAAGGAATGACGCTTTTGGATTTAATAATTACAGACCCCCTCCACGCTAAAACAGGCAGGCAGTTCTGAATGATGAACCATTCCATATCTAAAACCAGGTGTTTTATCGAGTGTGCTCCAAACCATGCAAAATTTTAACGATCCCACATGGCCTGGAATATGGCAGGTCTGTGCTTCAACCAATGAATCATCTCCCTGTCCAGTGGAGAGTTATTTACTACAGCATCTAGCATTGGGCTACCAAAGAATTTAGGAAAACTTTTGAATGACCATATCCGATCTTTGGGCCAAGACCTCTGCGGCTGCTTCTCCTGGATAAACAAAATAGATGATAATCATTAATCATCAATATCAAACACAGGAAATCAGAAAAAGAACGTATCACAGGGGTAGCTTTAAGCATGTCATTCCTAACAGTCTGTTCAAAAAGCTACTTAAATAAAGGATCCAGATCGGATTGAGGCTCATAGAAGCAGATCTGAGATGGACAGCATCAGAAGACAACGAGGCTGTGCATGAGGTTACTTAACTCGCATCTAAGACGTCCTTTCCTCAATTGAGATTCTCAAGCCCCCTGATTTGCTCTCGGATAATCTCAAGAGAAGCTGCTTGTTGCAGAAGATATCTAGTGGTAGATAGATGTGATATCTAAAAAAACAAAGGATCTTGATACAAGCCTATCAGCCTATCATTTTAACATTGGCTCGGTACCTCGCCTAATGGAACAAAGCTTGCTTGTTATTGATCAGTTTAGCATCATTTCGCCTACTGGGATAAGTTGTTCAGTTATTCTTGGCAGAACCCTATCTTTTTAGGTAAACTTCATCCAATGGATAGACAGTTCCTATTTGTTATTTCCTAAATACAGAGTCAACATACATAGCATGAAAACACAATAACTTGGAAGAATATATTAAAAAAAAACACTAACCATTTTAGCCAGCATAGATCTGACTGTCCTTGGACCATAAACACAATGCCGTGATGGCTTCTGAGCCTTGGCATAAAAGGAACTGATGTCTGGTAAAGACAAGCAACCCCTGCTGGCTCTAGCCAAGTTACGATCTGGATCTGCATTACTCTGGTTATGCCAAAATATCAGCTGCCCTAAACAATAATTTTCACCATATATCTTTCGGTACTCTTGAAATTCTGCTCCCAACTTGTTAGTGTACTTGGGACCTAAGTCAAGTGGACTAATATAGACAGGGGGTGACGTAATGGTTTGATAATTCTGCAGGGTAAAAAATAAAGTCTTCAGATTGCAAATTTAAATTTTAAAATGACAAGAAAAATTTAACCGCACCACAAAGCTTAGTATTGGCAGCAGAAAACATACCCGTATACTAAAGAAGTACTTGGTATAAGCATAAATATGGATTAAGTCAGCAGCAGCATCATGCCGACATTTATATGTACAAGAAAGATTTCGGACCTCATCCCTCAACCTTTGAAAATGGGAGAGAAGTAAATTGTAAAGATTGAGTTCCACACTTCCACCAGGTTAAAATAAACATAGACCAACTAGATGTGCGACCCACTTACCATAACAGAGATTTCCGAAGCTCTTTTTGAATATCTCCAGAATTTGAAGGATCATGAGCATGAATTTTAAACTTGAGATCATTCAAGACGTCTTCTTCAACATGAGGAGCTATGCACTGAAGAAGCTCTTCAACAAATGAACCCTCTCCTTTCCAGAGGAAGGAAACAGTTGCTTCAGGACTGAGCTTCTCAAGAGGAGGTGGTGCTTTCCGGGGATCACCAAAAATACATCTCATAACATACCTTACCTGTAATACCCCATCAAAAATTAGCATTGTCTCTGAACTACAGAAAGCAAAATTAATGGGCAAACTGATGATTTACAATGAGATAATACTGTCAGAAAGTGTTGTCAGCTGTTGAGTTCAAAATACACAGATTTGTGAATTATTGAAATGCAAATGCTTGACATACATTAGACGATATAAAATTATTGACCATCAAGCAATTGCCATACCATGCAACTTCTTTATTTTAACAGCATCAGCTCAGTCATTAATTTGTTAACAACAAGCCAATACCAAAAGCATTAGTCTTTACCATTTATCCTTTATGACAATGTTTTAATTCCAAAGTGTTTTTCTTCTTATCAACATTTAAAACTAGCGGAAACAAAGACTATGAGACTATAGATTATCAATCCACTGTTACAAGAATGGTATGTGCCTCCATTAGGAAGAGAGGGAGAATGTTACTCAGTTTTGATGGAAGAGAGAAAAATCACCTTATCAAGAGTGACAGCAAGATTCTGAAGCCTTTGGTTGTATACACCCTCAGCCTGAATCATACAAAAGATGGGACAAAGGGAATAAACGTTTGAATGAAAAATGAGACTACAACATTACAAACGTCATCTCATGATAATAAAGTAGACAAAGGAAAGTACACGAACAGACAGAAAGCATACCTGAACCTCAGCATCACTCCTTTCAACTTCAAGACATATATCTGAAAAATATTTTCTTTTTTCTTCCAGATTATGCTTTAGAATTTCTTCAGGAAGTTTTGTTCTTTCAAAATTGATGAATCTCACCTTCACCAAAGCATATATTTTAGGAAAAACTGATACACAACAACCATAAAAACAGAAAATATTGGTAACAATGCAGATGAAGGCACATACAAGGCGAGCCGCATAAGCAACAAGCCAATCTGGCAGGCCTCCAAGCAAACAACTGCCTAAACCAGCTCTTCCCAGGTCATAATAGTCCTCTTCAGACACGGAATTTAATTCACAAGCTTCTAGCATCAAATAATGCCGATCAAGAATTCCATGAGAGTCCTTCAGAACCTGAGAAAAACAGACAACATATTCCAGTCAGAAGATAAAGTAACCAAATTACACAACCAATCTCTTAAGAAATTTTCAATAATAGAAACTATATTATTTTACTTTCTAAAGTAACAACCCAAGTCAGGCTTTCATGCGAAAAATACTATCAAGTACTGACATGCAATGCAAGAATGTCCAGTAATTCCCCTTAAGAGTTATTAGCACGTGGGTTTGGATCTAACTCGATCCTGTAAAATCAACTTGTAAGGTAAAGATTACTCCCTAATTATATATTTTATTTGACTTTATCTCTAGCAAGGTAGAGAGAATATCTGTCAGCTTTAATATTTTCTGAGCACCTATAAGTAAAAAATTTCCTCCAAGTCCAAACCTTTTGGAAAGCCCCTTCACCAGTCAGATTCAAATAGCTCCCACGGCATACTTGGCTTCCACACAAACAAACTGATGCTTCATACTCCTCCTTGCTCTACAGTAAAATGGAAGGTACTCGTTAGACAAAGACATACTGAAGATACATTTATCTCATGGAATAGAATACATAAAAGTCAGCAGGTAACTGAACAAACCTCTGTTACAGAGTTGTAGTCGAAAGTGATCTCCTCACCATGCTGAATTTTACGAACACTATAAATACCAATTTGATATTGACCATCAACAGCAGTAACCCTAAAAAAAATAGTGAAAATAAAAGATAATTAACAGAAATGATATAACATATAAAAACTGCAACAAAAGGATTGCAACCTAGTAATCTAATCCTAAGCTAACCAATAAATAACCCCGAGCCATTGCTAGCAACAAATTTGAGATAAAATATAAAGTGTCTGTTGGTCAAATCTCAAAGTCATGTCAAAATATAAAAACTTAAATACAATTTTTGTATTTTGTATGCTTGGTCCTTCAGCACCATTTTTGCCACAGCAAGCCAAGGGACATAAAAGAAATGGAAGATCTATTAACCAACTAGTTGAATTTTCTTGTCAAAGGCAACCTAGAAACTTTACTTGCACGGAAGAAACTAGATGAGTAATTTCACCTTAAATTTCATAAGTGACATCATTTACAACTGAATATCCACTAGGATCATTACACCTTAAATGAACACAAGTACTTCTTTATCCCTTTGATAAGATCTTTTAGGTCCCCCTCCATTTCAATGTTGAAGTACTAGTCATTTGTGTTTTGTTGCTATTCTACCAATGAATATTCCCCACACCAAATGACCAGAATAAAGAAAGAAGAATCCAGAAAACCTAAGACAGTAATGACAAAGGCATTTATAAAGCCCATCCAAAACAGACACATTGTAGAACAAAACAAGACAGGAGATTGGGGGGAAAAGAAGTCCAGGAAACAATAACATATGAAGCAAAAATTTTGCATGTTGAGTTAAATCTGAATCTGGTAGTGATGATTCCGTATAAGCAATCAGGCATTTAAGTTCTTATTAGGAAATAAGCATAATTGCATTTTTGGTCCTTCTAGATGTGTGATTTTGTTTGCCAAGTTCTTGTATAGTAAATCAAGTCTATATATATTTCAAAATAAACAAATTTGATCCTCTTGTCCATTTTTTTAACAAAAAGTAAAATCTTATTTTCTATTCAAATAATTGGGGATTTACAATTGATATGGGATATGTAATAAATTTAAAAGTTTGGAAGCCAAAAATTTAGTAAAAAAATTGATACTATAGTTTGAAGAAGAAAATTTAGGATTTTTTTTCATATGAAATTTGATATTTTGGTTGGTGAGTTGTAAATGAAAGGATATCCAAAACAATTCAATTTTTGTAAATAAAAAATGAGAATTTGAGTGATTTTAAATAGAAGGGAAGTGATGAAACAATTAAAAAAAAAAATAGGAGATTAAATTTGATGAAAACTTAGAGTGACAAAAAAATCACACATTAAGTCATTAACCATAGTAGAGAGACTAAAAGTTTTCAACAATAATGAATCGAAAAGGAACTATGGCAATGACACAACAACATTAAAATTGAGTTTAACATGCTAAAATAAATAGTTGATCATCAACAACTACCACAATATTAAACTGCCTTCCTATGCCAGATGCAGACCATGATGGGCCCCAAGCAGTAACAACCTTTTTCAAAAGTCGGGAAGAATCAACCAGATTACAGAATAATGGAAGAAGATAATGATATAATATCTACAATGATAACATTCATGATTGTAAGTTGTAACAACCCAAAAGAAAATCATGATTGTATTTGGTAAATAGATAATTATTATCTTTCATGCACATGTGACTCCCCCAAAATGCACAAAATGCACTAAAATAGCAAACAAATTGTTTTTCAAGCAAGAGAACTAATATCCGGGAGCTGGGAAAGTTGGCAAATATATTAGTAAGAACCATATATAACATTAATGATAAACAACTTACTTGGCTTCACAATTGGGTCGGCAAGAATGACATATTCGACTGGCATAATTAGCCATGTGCATGGCATCAACAACAACTAAATCATACCCGTAAGCATCACCCTGTCATGAAAAATGTTATGATTGGATCAGTATAGAATGAAGGTGGACAAACCATATCAAGTTAAACATCATAAAGTCGATATTTTCATTATTTTGACGGGACAGACACCTTTGGCCTCTCAAGGTAGATGTTATAGAACTCTGGCGCTGGATCTTTACTATCTTTCTGCAGAGATCGAATCCCATCTTGTTTCTCAAACCACTTCCAAACAGGATAAACCTGTCACAACAATGTTGCAGAAATCATAATGCCTCACCAACACAAAATCATATAAGCATATGATGCTGCATACTAAATTACTAAAATGGATAGCCTCATGTGCAGAAGATACACTGGAGAAGAGCACAATATCAAAAGAACAAACACCTATATCTACAAGTATTTTGAATGAAACATTCTATACAAAACCTTAGTTGGCCACTTTAGAAATAGTTAAAACCCCTAAGGCTAGCTAGAAAAGTTGAGGATCTAATAGGCCACAATTTGTAATTTTGTTATAGGCACAAATCAGAGATTTATAGCATACTTAATATGCTGTACATGCAAAAGCTAGAAATGTCAAGGTGTGTACTACAGAGTAAATCATTACCAGTTTAATCACAATAGAGAATACAGAATAACTGGTGCAATGACATTATGTGCATATATAAAATACAGAAATGTATAGATTTGTACTTTTGCAGAGAATAGGTCAACACTGGTTTAATCATGCTAGAGATACAGAACAAATCATTTGTGAGCACAGTTTTCTATTAACTCTATAGATGGATCTTCTCTTAAATATTTAACAATACATTGGAAACCTGCATTTAGTCAAAAGTAGAAGAAAGCACAGATAAACATACAACTTGCAAATTAAATAATCAAAAGAAGAAGAAGCATGGATAAAATTCCATGAACATATATGAAGCCATACCTCTCCCAGAAACTCCACAACAAAATCATCTTCGGCAAAGCCTTCTTCCTTGTTGCAAACAACACCAAGTCCCTGCATGATCCATCCCAACAAATAATAATTCAACAGCAAACAAACACAGATGACAGTGCACTTAGAACTAGTGGAAGATAAGTGTTAAATTGTAGTTAACTAACAGAAAAGGCATATACCTTCCTATACGCTACATATTTGTCATCTGGACGACTGTCCATGGCCTTTAGAATACCTTGACACATTTTAACCATTCTCACATCACAATTCTCCTCAGCAAGTCTTTTAATATCTTCAATAACAGATCGCAATGGGTAGCTCATTGGAGTGCTTCCAGTTCCAGTAAAATTCCTAACTTGCATATTCAATGTTCGAAGAAGTATGTCTTCTATAAAGACATGCTTATCCTGCAGAGACCAATCTAACTCCTCTGGCATAGAATCAAGTAAAAGATTGTGCGTATAAGGATCAATTCCATAAACTTCTTGCTCAATAACCTCGTTTCCTAGCTGCTTTCTAGGTTTGTAATCTTTTACTTCAGGAAGTTCCATATCTGACTCCTCAGTGCCATTCTTTTGTGCGTTCAGCTTCTCAGCATAGTCATCTGGTAATGAAACCCTCATCTTTCTTTGTACATCCTCCTCATCAGCTACAATGCAATACTGATCAATGACTTTATACTTCCTGGTAACCGGAGGAACCAGACTTGCTTTTGTCATGCGAGCACCCCACTCTCGATCATCAGTTATAAAACCCAACTCTTCCTCAGACGTAAAGTATCCATCCCCTCTTGACTCCCTAATTAGACTTTCTGAATGTACTTCTCGATCACTTCCACTGTCGGAGGTTGTAGTATCACTGTCACTCTTGCCATCTTCACAAGACTTGTCCAGATCATCATCAGATGTTTCACTCTCTGAGTCCATAGATTTCTTGTTCAACCTTGATAAGCGCCTCCTAATTTCTCGATCAGAGGTATATTCCACATTATCCAAACCATGTGTTCCATTACTCCTATACTTCCTTTCATTCACCAATCTATGCTTCTTATACTTTGACAAAGTAGAGCATGATACAGCAGGCAAGTCATTGTCCCATGATTTCAGTAACGCATTTCTGTCATGCACAGATTTAGAACTCTCTTCCAGCCGTGTTGCAAGCTGAATAAACAATGTGATGATATGATTCATGTCGCTGGCATCACCCCGATTCTTCACTCTGTAAGCAATAATAAATTAAAATTAAACATAAATATTGGGTGAAAAATACAAGACAAATGTGGGTAGTTGGATGAAACAATCATTTTTAATGACCCAAGAAACATGAGATAAATGAACGAATCCATAAACACCTAAACAGAGGCAACTGCAACATGCAATATGTAAATTTTGAAGAAAATATATCATGATGCAAAACAACCACGATATATGCAAACCCACCAAGTTAAGCATAGATGAAAGATAACTACAATTGCAAAGCAGTAGAGCTTATGCATACACCTGAGAATCAAACAAGAACCTCCATGGCAAGAACATACATTACTCAATCAGGACTTTGACAAAATTATGACAAAAAAAAGGGTCTTTGTATTCTTGTCATCATAAACTAATAAGCCCTATCATATTCAGTTCAATGTGTCCAACAACAACTATAATATAACCCTGGCATCAGAAAAAAGTGGAGGAACAATCACCCCCTGAAAAAGGCAAAAGAGATAGAGAACTTACTTTATTGCATCACGGCACATTCTACTTATGTCCTCTTTCACAGAATTCAACCCACGGTTACTGTAATAACCACTTTTCATTTTAACCTCAATTTCTGCAACCTATTAACAAAGAAACAATAACCCAAAAGAAATCATGAGTAACAAAGCAGAACTTCATTATATGACATTAAAATAATTCTGCACAGTACCTTGGGCACAAAAAAGTCACAAGTGTTTGTCTTCATAATTTCCCTAAGCCTTGAAGCAAGGAATTCTTCCATCCTCTTATAACCGCTTTCAGATTTCTTGATTGCCCAACGTCTTGTCCGAGCATCCCTAGAGAGAATGGAGGAGGACTTTCTAGCATCATATAGTTTTGACCGCTTGTACAAGTTTTGACGGAATAATTGCTTGGTATCTCTCTTATCCACACTATCAAAGTAATCCTTCAATTGACCAAAATCATCTAAACCTAAACTGCTGGATTTGGAAACATACAAGGTTTGCTCTGTAATATGTTTAAGACTTCTAATTTTATAAGGCTCCTCTGCAAGTTTAGTCAAGTGTGAACTTCGGCTCTTGATCCATTTCACATTGGAAAATTTAAGAGTCAGATCTCCAAACTGGTTGCAGCCTCTAATGTCTATTGTAAATAAACCAGGAAATGAAAGAATAATTTTCTCAAGCATTTCAGCCGTAATATTGACACAACCCCTTAGAATAATAGAATTGATCTTGTCATTATCATAAGCATTCTGCAAACAAATAATCAGATTAGAGGAGGACGAAGAATGAGAAATATTACTGAAAATGTGAATTGCCAAATATATATCAAACCTACCAAAATGTTCCACAACATGGTATCGGTGCAGGAATGACCTAAGGATGACAAATTGACCTGTATTGACACTTCTTTATAAAACCCTACAGCAGCTCTCCAGCGCTTGCAAGTCATTGCAGCAAAACCAAGGGACTTCAAATCAGATCTCAAAAAATGGAAAACCCGTGCTAACACACAACCATCCAAAAGGCCCCAGCTTCCCACATCATTATCAGTAATACCAATTTCTTCTTCAGGGAAAGTAGCATCACCACATAGATCCTCAAAAGTGGATTCATCCTTCTCGACAGTAACATCACCATCTTCAAAATCACTGTTGTCTTCACTATCATCAACCAGCATTCGGGCCCTTTTGGAAGCATGTACATCACCTTCTAAAATTTACATGTCCCAACACATGCAAAACAAGAAAATAAATTAATCAAATTAATTAGGAGACCATTTGAATCAAATTTTCTGTGATAGACCAATCTAATGCACATGCTTGCAAAGGTGCACAGCACATGACAAGACCACAAGCATTGTTCAGAAAGGTAAAGTTGCTAGCAAATGAGCTCAACTTACACAGGTCAAGCTAATACATTAGTCTAAAAGGATTCAAAGTAGTTGCCCAATCACTAATAAAAAAATGAGGTTTGAAGTATGAACAAAAAAAACAAGCTAAAAATTTATAAACGGAGTCAAGGATGAGGGGTGGACAAACCAAAAAAAAAGAACTAATCATTACCTGATTTCCAATATATTTGTTTTTCGATTTCTTTCTTTGGTTGTCTTGCATTGATCCAGGGATCCAAAACCTCATTTATAGCTGCAGCAAACTCCCGGCTTTTATATGATTTCATTACCAGTTCATGTAGCTTCCCACGAGTATAACCAACAAACTGAGGATGTAAGCTGTTAAACAAACTTGAATTAGTGTAAGGGTCACCAGATGAAACACCCTGAGTTTGCTTTGATGGAAGACCAGAACATGCACCAGAGATTGAACTGCTTTCTTGCTGGCTCGTGAGACTTCCATCAGAAGTTTCTGTTGCAGAGGTAATAGGAACCCAGAGTTTATCTCTTTTCCTAAACACACTGCAATGCTTTTTTATGATTCCTTGATCTACTAAATACTGTAGCTCCGAAAATGATGAGGGGCCCCTTTCACGCCCAGAACCATCAAGATAATACCAGTCACCCAAATGTAATTGTAACTCATGGATAGAACAGAGATGATCTTTAGGGACATTAATGAATTCCATGATCCGGTAAGAACCTTGATCACTAACAGCTTTTGACTGAGAATCTTGTTCAGTTGATGATCTCCTACTATCACTGGTTGAAGAGAAGGGCCGAGATGACCTTGAATGATGTCTTTCCTTACCCCGGGTCTTGTGGCGTGACTCAGAGACCAATGATCCCTGGTCTTTAACAACACATGCATTTATCCTGACCACAGAAAGAACATTGCCTTTCACTCCTCTCACAGAAGCAGGCTTACTTTGGACTGATCTGCTCGCAACACTGCAATCATCCCGCTCATCAGCACAGAAAGCCCATAGAGGGAGATCAAGCCTCCTGCTTTGGGAAGGAAAATACAAGTCATCTTTTTGAGGCCAACGAGGATCTTCACAACCAGACTTTGGCATTTGACATAACTGAAAACCATTATTCAGGACAAGTTTCTTCCTACAATATCTATCTTGGGCATCATCATTCCTTTTCCAGTCACCACCTTTACATGACCAATGGGTGGAAAACCAGTCACTAGAAACACCAAAGGCAAGTCCATTATCCATATCACAGGACATACTTAACTGAGATTCAGAATCTCTTGACGCTAAATCAGTACTTGAATCACAATCTTCCTTAAGGCAGGAAACACTCCAAGGAAAACCTGAACAAAGACAAAGATACTTTTGTCATGTGTCGTATAACTCTCAAGATCATATCCATTTATGTTTGAAGTTTGAACTTATCCTGATGAAGAATAAACATGATCTACAAACTAGTTTTGAGTGCATAGCCATAACAAAATGAATGAAATTGTAATTTTAAGCTCCAGATATGATGCAAAATTACAATCTGCCATGGTTTGCAATTTTTTGTTTTTAATAAAAAATCAAAGTGTGATAGTATTTGATTAATCTGATTCAATGTATAAATAAATTAAAAAAATCATTTATGACCAACCCACCAAATCAATTGCTAAGATACAAATGACATCCCAAACCACCGTACGTGACCAAAAGGGATTAATGCAAACTTTTTGTTCAATTGAGAATAAAAAAAGAACATCGAAGCGAAGCCTAAAATGAAATGTTAAGTGCCTTATTTTATAAATACTCATCAAAGCGTTTTGTAAAACATTATGAAAATAGTTAAGATTTTAGACAATAACTCCAAATGCATTTTGCTTGAAACAACATTAAGGTTTTAAATGGTGGCACGATAGTGGAGTAGCAGAGCAAAGCAAGTAAGCAACAGATTAATGACCAACCCACCATATCAATTGCTAAGATACAATGACACCAAACCACCATACACGACCAAATGGGATTAATACAAACTACTTATTCAATTGGGAAACAACAAAAGGACGGCGGAGCAAAGCGTAAAATGAAATGCAAAGTACCTGATATTTTATAAACAATGACCAAAGCATTTCGTTGACCATTAAAAAACTAGTTAAGATTTTAATCTTAGACACTAACTCCAAACGTATTTGCAGCGTAGACACAATATCAAGGTTTTAAATAGTGGTGCTATAGCAGTGTAGCAGTGCAGAGCAACCCCTGCCCGCTTCAGAAGCTGTCATAGTGGATCAGTTTATTATAGATGCTGTAGCAGGTCCAATATAGGGCTGAATAGCGGCTGCGGCGGCGCTGTGTCTTGATTCAAAAAAGCTCTCTCAACAAAGACATTAGGGCTTTTTTGAGGGGGCTATTTTTGGGATTTAATTTACTGCTGCAATAGTAGTGAATATGGTAAAGAAGATTTGGATTAGACTTGTATTTGACTTTTGTTCGTATTTACTTGTATGTTTTGTTTAAGACACCTATGACTTTTTATTTGTTAATTATGAATATCATTAATTTTGAGTAATTTTTATCATTTCTGGGGTTTACCACTATGCGCCGTTATCAAGTATTTTAAACACTTAACAACATCATTCCAAATTACAATGCACACATGTTAATGCAATAATGCTTAAATTAAAGTTTCAAATATTTATTGGTTCACAATCATGTATTACCAACAACAAAAAATGGGTCCACCTGACGGTGCACGAGCATTAAAATATCATAAACAAGAACAAGAAGCTGCTTTCCATAAATAAATTAATAAAAGACAAAACACTAGCAATGGAGAACTCCAACAATAAAAACCACAATATTGCCAGGTACTAGAAAACCAAAACAAATTGAAAATTTCCCAAAACAGGACCAACAATTTGAATATAGCACAATATATAAATGCTTCTAAAAATCAGTCAAATTTAATCGAATATGGTAATATCCTTATGAGAAATATCAAACACAGAAAACAAAACTCGTGAATTATAAGAATATGTCAATTAAAAAGATGAAAACAGACAAGAACCACAAAGCAATTACGTACCTTCATAGTCTCCCAGTCCCTCCCCTTTTGCATTTTCAAAATTCATTTGCAATGCTTCTGCAAGCATAAATAATAATAACCAAGGTGAAAAAGATGAGATAACTCAGAAAAATGGGACCAGAAGGGCCGATGGAATTGACAACAAATTCTGAGATCTATTTTCTCACTTGTTAATGAAATTCTCAAGAATATTATAGACAGAACAAAATACCTTTTATTGCCTCAAGTTCCATCCCAGGAGTGACATCATAACCCTCTAACAGATTTCTAACTCTTTCATCAATGCGGAGGTCCTCAAAAAGTTCAGGTGTAAACACACTGTCATTAGGGCATACTGGTGGCTGTGGCAAGGGGGGTAGCATTTCCTGAAGATTCTCAGGAGCAGATTGAAGAATATCTGTTGTATCTGACAAAATATTACCAGGAGCTTCAGGAGGATTTACCAGTTGGGTTATGGTATCAGACGCAATTGATGGAAATATCTGAGGTGCCAAAGGTGACACGGCATTTTCAACTGTTAACCACCTGTCACTATCCAAGTGCTTGATAAAGTGATCGGGCATTAGAACACCTTCATCAACAAGGACCTTGATGTCACACAATTTAGCAGGCCCGTTTTCTACACCACCATAGTCGAGGTAATACCATTTCCCTGATGACAAATCTGTCACCACAGGCACATGGGGAGGGGTATCACAAATGTCCATATCTTCCTCCATTGAAGGCAGTTCCTCAGGAGGTGGCTCGGAGTGAGGAGATTCTTTGTGGCTAACAGTTGGGCTGCAATTATGCTGTTCCTTTATAGGTTGACTGCAGATGTCTTTCTCAACAGACTTAATGGTATCTTGCACATTTTTATCACTTTGAGATTCTGTACTTGAACAATTTGACTCCCTTTGAATCTGCTTATCTTCATGATCCTTACAACTATTTTGGGAGTTGTGTTTTTCAATTGATAAGGTTTTACAACTTGATTCCTGGCGTCTATCTTTCCTTGTTCGGTCAAGGGGAGATGCTTCCACTAAATTTGGGGTACAGTCCCTACGATCATGACGCCGACTTCGATCTGGCGGAGACGGCTCATGCCGCCGGCTTCGATCTGGGGGTGACAGCTCATGCCGCCGACTGCGCTCTGGTGGCGACTGCTCAGCACGCATTGGACTCCTCAATTTATGATCATGCTGACGAGTTCTATCCCAGTTCCTCATATATGGAGACCTCTCACGACCATGGGGAGATTTCTCCCTGTTATACGGTGATCTGTCACGACCACAGGGAGACCGCCGCACTGGAGTGCGTTCTCTATGATCATAATACTTCCCTCGGTCTCGGGGGGACCGCTCAGAATGACCAGGGCTGCGCCCATGCTTGTCATAAGCTGCTCTGGTGGACAAAGAAGATTCATGATTCCTACTAGAATACTTGTCTGCTGGTAATTTTGAAGCATTATTATTTCTGTAAGACCGCTCTACAGAGCGACGTGAATAGTTCTCGGAATAAGCATGGCGACAACTATCATCAGAAAGCCTCCGGCTTTTCAAACCAGCATAATCTGAAGAATGCTTCCGCTCACAGCTGTCAGTATCATTGCCAAGCCTCTTCAAGCGACTTCCAGAAGAGTAATCCCGTGTATGATCCTTACCATTACTGTGTACATTCTTCTCATCATCCACAATCTTTGAACTGATCCTTACGTTCCGCTGTTGCCCATCCCACCTGGGAGAACTTTTAACATGCTGACCCCCACTTCTATTCAATTCCTTCTTTCTAAAAAAGTCATCGCCTGTATATCTGCCAGAAGAAGGTGTACTTTCACGTTCAGTTTTCCACCCTTTGTCCCTGCTTGAATGGTACCTGCGGATTCTGCTGTTATCGTAATCGCCCTTGTACCATCTATCTGGAATGAACTCTCCCTTCTCAATTTCATCCTTAATTCCTCTCCACGACCCATACTCCCCTCTCTCGGCTTCTCCTTTCCTACCACCCTTCTCAGGAATTATCTCCCCTCTTTCCACATCTTCCTTCCTCCACTTGCCAGAAGCAATCTCTCCCTTCTCCAGCTCCCTTGCCTTCCACTTCCCACTCACAATCTCTCCGTTTTCAATCTCGCCTCTCCTCGGCAGCGGCATCATCATCTCCGGCACGAACTCCCCATTCTCCAGGTCAGTTCTGGGCCACTTCAAAGTACCCAATTCACCCTCCTCCACTTCCTCTTTCTGCACCTTCTCCCCAGTACCACCGCAAACTTCACCATTCTCAACTTCGTTGCTGCTCCTCTTGCTCACTCTGTCCAACCCCAATTCGCTCTTCCTGGCTTTCATCTTCCTCCTCTCACCGTCAACAAACTTGAGCAACTTTGAATTGAAACCATTGTTCCCACTCTTGCCTCCGCAAACAACAGTCTTCTCGGCACTCGGCAACCTATCCATAATATACTGCAAAGGCATGCATGCGACGCCTCCATCGCCCATGGAAATCTCACCCTCCACGTCAGAACCTCGAAACCCTAGCAGTCCCCTCGCCCGGGGCTGTCGATGCTCATGCTGCAAATGCTTCACCTCTCTTCAATCCTCGCCCCAATTAGAAGCCCTAAATTCCACACAAAATCACGAAACGGGTTAAAACCAAAGCAAATGCGCATAATTCGCACACCGCACGCGCGAACGAACGAGAAACCTCACGTAGAAAAACATGCTTCAAGATTGGAACCGTACGAAGACACTCCATTAAAATATAGAAGGAAAATTAAAAAAACAGAAAAAGAAGAGGGAGAAGGAAGAGAAGAAGATAATTACCGAGAAAGGAAAGAAAGAAAGAAGACGATAGATCGGAGAGAAGAGCGTTGCTGTAGTTTGAATTTGGAGCGTGAGAAGATGGAAGATCGACAAGTGTGGTTTGTCGCGAGACAAATATAGGTTTAATTAGTAACAGTGTCTTCCTTCTTGGCGCTTCCTCTTTCTCTCTCTCTCTCTCTCTCTCTCTGCTGTTATATGTTCTCTTCCTTGCGTTGTGTTGTTCTTCTTGATGTTGCTCCTGGTGAAAGACGAACCAAACCTTTGTGTGAATTTCTATTTTTCTTTTGGGTGTATTTATTGGTGAAGTAAAGTACGGGAATACCCCTGGAAACGGGGAAGTGGCTATAGATTTGGGTGGGGAAAAGGGTCAGGCCCGGGTTAGTGTTTAAGATCTAAATCTTGTGTTACAGGAAACTGGTGTTGACTCAACACAAATTTCACTTGAATCCACACATATATAGGATGTAACGAACTTGGGCTGCTTCATTGGCCCATTCCATGATCCATGCTTGTTCTCCAAGATTCGAATGATAAGGGTGAAATAAATTAACATAAACACAGACATTGTTCTACCTGTTTATTTTTATATTTTGAGAAAAAAAGTAAATTTTGACAACCTGTAATAATTTCTCTTATTATACATTACTATATGTGCTATTTTAAAATTTTAATTTATTTATTTCTTGATATATACTACCTCATATGATTGAATTAAAAAATTTGTTTTATGTTTAATTCATTCAAATCATAGTCTTTAAGTTCCAGATGCATCATAGAACATGATTAAAAGGAAACCGCGTGTTTAAATCTCAGTTGCATCGTAGAATATATTTCTTCATTATGTGTTGTTTTCTTTTTTTGTTAATAAATTCATTCAAATTTCGGGAGAAGAAATTATTTTAAGTGTTTTCTCCTTTGACCTTGTACATTCCTTCTTCAGATATGAATAATGGTGATCCATGCAAGGGACCAAATATCGTTCACTTTGTACAACAACTTCCTATTTTAGTATTTCTGAAATAGTGGTTTTGATAGCGTTTTTAACTTGTGATTTGTTTTGATTTTTGTCTTTGATTCAAGCAACTCTTTAACCTCACTTCGGAGAGCAAAAGATTTTGCCATTATTAAATGTGTATGCAATTGTTAATGGAATATATTAGTTGTCCACTTTGAGACAGAATAATTCATTATGATTCATTATTTTTGTTCTCAGATCAATTTGAGATACAAAGTCTTAAGGTGTAGTCTCTACATTGTATCATACACACTATTGTGAACGTTGTTGTTTATGGTGTAATGTTGTTGAAGATTATTTTCAATGGCGACATCACCTCTTTCCTTTTTTTCTCTCTCCCTCTTCTCCTTCTTTTCATGACATCGTCTTTTATCCTCTGCAATCTCACCACTGACCACAGACTCCTTTGTCCCCTTGGTGTTGATGCTCTTTGGCCATGTCACTCATCTATTTGACGACGATAGTCTAGACACCCAACCACTTTGCTGTCATGTCATGTTTTACACTCTCACACATTCGTCGCCATGATGCAATCTTCACTTGTTTGCCTCTTTTGGGTCAAACTTGCAAATCAGACCCAAAGAAAAGGGAGAGAAAAGAGAAAAGGGAAAAAAGGGGAAAGATGGTGATGTTGCAACCAAAAGTTGTCTTCAACAATGATGTATAGTAGACAGCAGCATCTGATAGTGTATGGGTTGGTGACAAAGAGGACATAAAATGTTATGATATAGTGTAGAGAGTGCATCTTAAGACATAGGGTCTCAAAATTATCTAAGGGTGAAAAATAGTGGATTGTGGTGGACCACCTATTAAGATAGTCCACCTTAGCCTTCATTTGTCCCCCCCATCAAATATGGTTTTGCCATTTTTTTCATCAAGTTGGTTGCTTATCCATATTAAATACATAAATCAATAATTTTTTTGCAATGAATAAAAACATCAAAGAAAATAAGTATAAAAACAAATTCCCAATTTTCTTTTTAATTTTTGATCAAAAGTAGGTACTTATTGAAAATATGGGAGGTCAAGGTGAGGAGGGTTGTGATTGGAGGTTTCTTTGGAGAAGGAATTGGTTTATATGAGTAAAAACAAGTGACAGATTTGTTTTTGAGAGAGGTAATGCGAGTTCAAATAGTAAAAGAGGTCTTGGATAGATGGACATAATCACCAAATGGTTCAGGACTTTACTTAGTGCATTATGCATACACCACTATTTGTAATTTTGCATCCTTAATCCCGGTACATGATGTCTTGGTGAAAATATGAAAGTCGAAGGTTCCACCTATAGTGAATATATTATTGTGGCAACTTGTTTTGAATAAGCTACTAACAAGGGACAATTTGGGTAGAAGAGTCCTTTAACTAAATTTGACAATTTGGGTAGAAGAGTCCTTTAACTAAATTTGACTGAAAGTTTATGCTTTTTTTGCTTGACTGAACATGAAATTGTGGATCATTGTTTTTTCTTGTTATCGAGTCATTCTGGTTTGGTTTGAGTTTTACCATTGATTTCAAATACATATTGTTTTGTCTTCCTCTACTTTGGAGCATTTTGAGCAACATTGGTTGTGGGATGCAAAAAAATTTACTAATGAAAGGTGGAAGTGTGTGTGGGGTGTTGTTTTGTGGACTATGTGGAAATGGAGAAATAACATAACTTTGAAAGATAAAGATTTTAGTTAGCATGATATAGTCATAAATATTATGTTTCATTATTAGTCATGGCTTAAAAGTTTGTATAAAGATTGGGAACTCCTATGTTCTATGGTCTATTAATCTTGGCACCTATTTAAGGAGATAAATTTGCTTGTAATAGTTGTGTTACACGCATAATTTATTTACATTTTGTGGACATGGAAGAATATAGCTTGCATGCTATATGTGTTTCTCTATTGGTTCTTTTTGTGTCGTGATGTGGTAATGTCCATCATGTGGGGGAACATGATCATAAGGTAGAAATTGTTGTTCTAATTTTTTTTTTTAATTTGTTGGGGATGATTATTGTAATTAATATTGGTTGGGGAATAGTGCTGTGTTGATTCCGTGTTGTAGTAGTGGGGGTTGGTATTTATTTTTGCAATGTTGGCATTAAATAGATCCCAACCTATTTAATAATATGTTAAGGACTTTATATCATTATTGTAAATGTTTGGAATTGTTGGTGGTACCCTTGATACCACTTTTTATAAAATACAATGCTTTTTAGCCGAACAAAAAAAAGTGATGATTATATCAATTATCAAGTATATTATAAGAGAAAAAGTAAACAATAAACAAAATGTTACATATAATCAAGTCTAGATTCCTAGATCGCATACTTATTTCTCAAAAGATTTTAATTTTGTCAAACTTTTTAGACACACTAAAATGCATTTAAATATTGCTAGTGAAGTTGAAAACTATAATCTAATCATTATTTGCCTCACAAAGTTGACGCATTCAAGCTCCCCCATATTTCTAAATAGGAAATAACAAAAGAGACTTGAAATTTTCTTATAATATCTATGCATGAAAGAAACTTTCCTTTAATGAAATAGAGTCATCATGTTTGGCTTTCTTATATGAATTATATTCTCTTTATTGTCGTTGGATGAACTACATTGTAAATAGAGAACCTATCAATCTTTTGTAATATTTACCCAAAATGAGTGTCAACATTTGCAAATTACTTATTGAACACAACAACTTCTCCCAAACCAAGTTTGTCGAAAGGTTTCCTATTGACTTAAACATAAGGTCTATTTAGATAAGGTTCTCCATAAACACTTTTAGGAGAGAAAAATATGAAGAAAAATCAAAATAAGTTTCTCCATAAGTTAAAACTAGCTTATCCATGAGTTAAAAATAAGATTTTAGATAAGATAATAGAATAAAATTTCTACAAATTAACTTATACATGAGCTAAAATTGAGCCTGTTAATAAGTTTATTTCATTTTTCTTTTTATATTTTACTCTCCTAGAAGTGTTTTTAGAGAAATTTACCCAAATAAAGCCATACTAAAGATAAAGGGATCTTAAGCCTTGATGATTTAGGCTAGGGTGGTAAGTAAGGAATATCTCCCACCATAGGCAATACATATGTGTAACACCTTCATATTTTATGTCTCAGCAGCTCCATTCCATAATACTTTGCACAATGACACTTCATACAACTTTTCGTTGGTCAAACCCTTCACCAATCATAAGCCCTTTCAGGATCAATGACTATCTTCATAAACCAATAAAAAACTTTTCAGTATGTTTGTCCTAACTTGCACATTTTTTGGAAAATTTTTCAAAAGATCACCCCTCCCTAAATCGCTCTAAGTCAAACACACTTAACTATAGAGTTATTAAGTGATGAGCTACATAAAAGTATATACATCTTGTTGGTATAAGTAGTACTGATTAATTCTTTTAAGTTATCCTCAATTATACAGTCTTACATTTGTTTAAATTTTTGGATCCCTTTCATTCTAATGTATTCAAGCTATTACAAACCCACTCACTTTCGCTTGAATTATTTTCAAACCACATTGTACTAGGAGAAAATACCTACCCAAGTATCATTTGTAACACTTATAAGATTAAACATCCTAACAACTTTACTTCATGACACTTCATACAATAATACTTCACACAACTTCTTGTAGGTTAAAACTTTCAATAGATAACCCTTTTTGAGATGTTTGTCCACTTCTAGGATCAACAATTGTCTCTACAAATTAACACAAGACTTTTAGTTACTTAATTTATCAAAGTTAAGAAAAATGGTTAATATAATCATAACAATAAAGTAAAATATTATTATGCTATACCTTTTTCTAATTAATTAACACTTTTTTATCCTAATAAATACTTCTCTTGTTAATTATAGGTTTTTCAATTTAAAAATAATTAATACATGAAATAATATGAATTGAGTCTTATATATAAAAAAAATTATAAATTAGTCCTTATCAATAGGAATAGTGCAACACTCTTTTACCCCACAATGTAATTCTTTATAAAATAATAAGGCACAAAAATTTAATATAATTAATCTTCGAGGTGTTTAGACAAAAGAGTTCACATATATGTATAACATTTCATAAAAATAAAATAGAGTAGATGCTAAAAATAATTAGGCATAAAAGGCTTTTACAAGTTCCAAAGTTATAACTTTTGAATAAATAAATAAAACTTTAGGTACACAAGTCCATAATAAAATAAACATAAATTGATAAAAATAATTTTTTAATTCTCGATGGCACAACCAACCAACAATCATCAAAATAA